CCCCCACACACACACACAGAAATGTATTTTCGGATGGTAAACGTGTTGAGTCAAAAAACAAAAATTCGATAAAAATTACGAAACGCCCAGAAAAACGGCAGTTTCTTCGATTTCCTCCTTTTGACGAGCGCCTGATTTCCCCACGATACGCCCCATTATACAAACAGTAGGAGAACTTACTGCACGCTGCCGTGATCACTGCATCGTATGTCAAACGTTTGCTGGCAATCAAAGACTTGGTCGCCACACACTCGGGTTTTTGGTCAGTCGTATCCAAACAGGCCATGAATGTGTTGCCAGCCCTGGGTGAATAGAGAAGACATTCATTTACAACTGTTGGGATAATAATAATAATAATGATTGCATTTATATAGCGCATATCCAGGCTCAAGAGCATGCTCTATGCGCTTTACAACTATTATTACCCCAGCAGACCCTCTGAGAACACTCAGAAACATTCTCGGCTTCCGCGGAAGCATACAGTGCAAGCTGCGAATTTCACGCGCTCAAACACTCTCAAACTGACAAGATCGTTCGCTGTCTATAGCCGGGTACCCATTTCCACCTGGGTAAAGTGAGGAACATTTATGCAAAGTGCCTTTCCCAAGGACACAACGTTGGGCTCCTGACGGGATTCGAACCCACGACCTAACGGTTGCGAGTCCGAGAACCTAACAACTAGGCCACTTGACGGGTGTATTGCGACGTTCGCTATGGCTTCAGCTCATCTGAGCACGCGTAACTTTGTTTTTCTCTTTTCTTTTTTTTTTAAACAGAGGCAACATTTAAAAACTTTACCGGATCATTGGTGGGTGCTCGAATGTGGTTTGCTCCTTCGTTCCTACCAAATATCTGTCATCTTCATAATAACATTTTCTCCTCCTTTTTATGTTTGTATGTCACATTTTGGTCACTCCTCTACTCTTCGGTACTTCTATGACCTGATTCCGTTGCAAGTGCCGTAAAACTCGTACTATAACTAAACTTTAAAAGGCTCCTCTGGACCCCGAATGGGATTACTGTCTAAAAAAACACCAAGGAAATTTGAACTGGTATATGGAAATACATCAAATAGATAGACTGCTCTTGTTTTAGAAAGATTTGAAAAGTTTGTATAATTTTCTAGACAGCAAGGTCTGATGTGGTATAGAACAGTTATGGTTCATCAACGGTTACTCTTTTCCAGATATCAGTATCTTAATTTGATGTACCAAATACGACATAATGGGATTGGGGGGTTAAATGTGTGTTTGTCTCTATGTACGTGTTTGTCTGTGTGTGTGTTTGTGTGTGTTTGTGTGTGTGTGTGAGTGTGTGTGTGTGTGTGTGTGTGTGTTTGTGTGTCTCTATGTGTGTGTCTGTGTATGTGTGTGTATGTGTTTGTGTTCTTTTTTGGTCGTTTATTACATAATTATTATTTTTAAAATTTTCAACTCACAGTAGAATGCTTATTGCCGAGACCACCTCCCCCTACCTTCTCTCTCTCTTTCTCTCTCTCTCTCTCTCTCTCTCTCTCTCTCTCTCTCTCTCGCC